CCTGATCAGGGCCATTTGATACGTAACGTTACATTCCCCATTAGGCCCTGATTAGAGCACCGGATCCGTGCCTGATTTGGAAGTACGGCAAGCCATATGTGGATCTAATGAGGGCCCTATACAAATTTCTACTCGGGAATGTTTAAAAAAAGCCGACGCACATACGATATATAATTTGATACCAAGGCGGAGATAAAAGCTGGATTAAAACCGGAATTAAATCATTTCGTCCCCAGCGCGACTCTGATATTAATCCATTGGCGCGAGTACACGTCGACTCCGTTGCATGCATAGAACCCGTGCCCTTCGCCTCTCTCATCCCCGACCATCAACTCGCTTCCCCCTCCGCTTCGTTCGCCCGGGTTCGCGGAGGTTATTCGCTGCTCTTGGGAAACCATGCGAGAGTTGTGCACGTCAGGGTGCACGGGAGTTGCAAACCCTCGCCATAAATGGAAACGGTGCGTGGGAGGAAGGGGGTTGGCAAAAGCTCGATGGCGGTGGAGGATACTTTTGCTGCTGCTGCGCAACCGGCACGACGCAGACATTAGCCGTTATATACCTGGTTCAACGACCACCGCCCTGCTCTCGTCCAACCCTGTGGTACTCGGTCGGGGAGGCACGACAGTACGAAATGGAGGAACACGGATGGCGGGGGACGAAACCGGGGGCGGCAGTGGTTGGTCAAGGAGAATACGGTAAGTGGGGAAGGGATCGTCGTCTACGGGGGGTCTCGCAACCTAGCTGGAGCGGCCCACGGGCCAGTTCCGTCTCGAGCCGAGGGGTAGAAGAGCTACTGGCCGCTTGTCTGCTCCCTTCTTTCGCTATAGTTTCATTTCTTTCCGTTTTAGTTCCTCTTCAGTTCCGATTGATTGACATGTACACATATAATATAAAATATTTCAAACACACACACGTACACATATAAATACATGCACATCGATATACTCAAAAAAAATAAGTACACGCACACGGATCGTCACGCAGGGACACCGACCTGCACTCACGCACAACGTTCTACCACATACATACATGACACACATAAATATACGCACACGGTAAATTCGTTTGTTCATTGTTCGTGGTTGAATTCGCAAGCACGATTAGTATATCGACTTTCCTGTCGTTATCGCCGTCGTACGTTACATGCACGGACACACCCGCGCCCAGTATCCGAGTATCTTTAGGTCCGTATCAGGCCAGATGTAAAACGGGCCGTCGCATAGTACCTGCGTCTTCTATCCATCCAATGCGCGTGTGCATCGAGCGCGGGTTCGTTGAGTTTTAGGAAACATAATTGTCGCATTCTCTCAGGTACGTGCACAATTATTGTTCGTTTCCGAAAGGCATCCGGAGCGTACGATCGATCGTCACGTGTGACGATCATGCTCGGCATGATCGACAAAGATTATTTATTTCAAAAACAAAAAACCAAGTATGTGAAAAAAAAACCAGTGTGAATTTTGATCAATCATTTCTTTCAATAAATATAATATTTCGTTCATTGTAAGTAAATTAATTTAATTATTAGTTGCGCAATCGAACAATATTTTGAAGAAGATATTATCATATCGTATTTTTTTCTGAAAGTTTTTTTTGGTTTCTGATTATGTGGTGAGTTGTGTTTTTCAATTTGTGTTACAGATCTATATCAAGCTCTAGATGCGATTCGGAAACGGTATTACTAATGCCATATAAATCATGTATTTTCTATGTGTTTTTTTTTTATTTAACAAAATATGTGTATGTTTTTTTTATCATCGTTAATGTATTTATTTTTGAATGAGTGTAGAAAGTAACTCTCGTATATATAATCCTTTACACACATTACGTTATAACATTTTGATATATTACAAACAACTATAAAAAATGTAACATTCTACGGAAGAATATATTATAATACACAATAGAAATAAACGATTTTGTGTGTACGCATATGTACATATTGTAATTTGATAATAAAAAAAAAAGAATATTTATTGTCGCAAAGAAAAAGAGGAAAGTGAGAATAATAACAGAAAAGTCTTGAAAATTGGCTTGCTCACGTGCATCCGCGAGAGAAAAAACGTTGCATTATACAAAAACTGTATTATATAATTATATATATAATTTTATAATATACTAGATTTATTAATATATTAGATACTAACTTATTCGGTATAAAAAAAGATTGCTGATAACAAATATCGGTACAGCACTCAGACAGATCTCCGAAGTGCATTCTCAACAGTTTTTTTCTCATCAAGAAGCCTTCTATTTTCATCTCGACAGAAATCACAATACAGTGATTTATTTCTAACGCAAATTACACTTGTTTTCATTTTATCAATGTTATTCAACTGATCGGTTATTTCTCATACGGAACAATATTCTATACAAACTTTTATTAGATATTTATTAGACGTCACAGGTAATTTCGGATGTTCACGTCTAATGAACGTTATGTCTCTGCGTAAGTTTATAGTTATCCTTGCTATCGAGTTATCCACACAGACAATTTCGTATCGATATGACAGGCAAAATTCTTCGGTTTTCTATACGTAACGAATAAAATTAGCGTACAATTGTTTTTCAAATAACTAGACAGACAAATCGCAAATGTTTTTTTAATTCTCCTTGATGTCCGAGGCGGCACAATTGCTATCTGCGTGATTTCATGCTCTTGCGTGGGACCGTCGGTTTGTTCTTGCTGGCCGCGAGCTCCAAACCGCCCCGTGTCAGCTGATTGAAATCGATAATGGTGAGTCGCGGCTCGGCGGCGGGTCGTACCGTCAGGGCTTGCATCCTGTCGAGCGGTGCCCCGGGACTCCGGAACCTGTAGCTCCGGTTTCTGTACCCACCACCGCCGCCACCGCCGACGCCGCCCGTTCCAGTTTCACTAGCGATTCCAGTTCCGGGCTGCTGTCCCATCCGCGTACCGCTCATCGATCGGTAACGAGCGCTCGGGAGCGGCTCAGCCTCCTCCCGGAAGTACCTGACGATTCGGCGACTGAGATTAGCCGACTGAAATGCGTTTCGATAAATGGCATGCATTGCGTTACACTCCGCGTTTTTTTTTTTATAGCCAATTTGATTAATATTTAATTGTCGTTTTTCAAAGTACAACGCGAATGAGAGTTCATCCTTCATACCGATGACAACTCCAATAGTACGATCTGTATATACACGCAAAAGAATTGAAATAATTACTCGTAAATGCTGGCGAGATGCAAGGTCGCCGGTGTTCTAACCGTTCTCGGTCTAGGTTCCCTTGGAAGACGATGTCTCTGCCGAGATTGACGCGTTCGTCTGTTCGATGGCTGATCGGGAAGCCCCGTCGGAATAAGTCCAGTTGACTGATAATATTTCAGAAAAACGCGTGCCAAATTGCGTCCCACTCTGTAATCTGCATTTGTGACAATTTACAGTCAAGGTCTTTAAAATTTTCCGCATAAGAAGATATTAGAATTGGATTCTGAGATATGTTCGATTAAAGGATACATCCTTCTTCCGTATACGGTATTATGCCGGGTAATCCCTTCTTGTTATAGCCGTACATGGAGATCTCTATGCTGTAGCAATTGACATGTTCCTTCAGTATAGAGCACAAGTAGCGACGAGCCGTGCCGGCTTTATTGGGATCCTGATTGTACATGGTGTTGTTCTCCTCGTAGTCCTCGTACTGAGCCAGTAATTTCGGCAGGACTTGGTGTCTCTGGTTCCTGAGAGGCTGGCAGCCATGAGTCAGTTTGGGTAACAATCTCGATTGACGCTAGCTTTCTCTTTTCTCTCGGCTTATGATATAGAAATACTACGATTTTGTTACGTTTGCGAATTCCGCTATTAGTATTGAACGTCGCTCGACTTCGCTCTTGCTGAAAAGGCTTAGAGTTACCTGTAGACGTCTTCGTACGTATTTCCGTAGACAAAGACACCTGTCGCGTTGGTGTGCGCGTGCAAATCCAACACACAGTCCAACGGTGTGCGCGAGTTCTTATCGAGAGACTTCAGCATTGATCTGGTCGCGAGCAACGTGGGATGAATCCATTCGGAGATACGGTTCCAAGATCGATTCAGGTCTAATCCCATCACGGTGGATCTTTATTTAATCAAAATAATCAAACATTTAATAATCTGTTTCGATGCATTTTCATACAGAAAAGAACATTTATTTATTCACGAGTCTGATTCCCGAAGAGTTCTTATTCTTGACGAGAAAATAATCAAGTAATAAGTGAAAAAAGAGATGTTTTCATATATGAGATTTTTTTTTTTAAATATCTACCGAAAACTGTAGTGACGAGTTAATCTTCTCGACAAATTTTACATACCGTTTTTTTTTTTTCATACCTGTAATTACCGATAAAGACTCCATCGGGATTCAACATCGGCACTATCTTGAAAATCACATGATCCCGTAAAATCTGAGCAATAGGATGCGCGCTGACCAAGAAGTCCATCAACCCCTGACACACAAAGGAGGTCGGCGACTCGCCGGGGTGAACTCTAGCGAGGACGACGACCACTTTTCTAGGTCGTTCTGTGTCTTCGAGGTCGGAGGTTATAGTCACGAGTTCTACATTCCTCTTTTGGATCGACTCGGCCAGCGTTTCTCGCTTTGTGTACAGCAATCGGTTGCATAGATTGTCGAGATGTCCCAAGTAGCGAGTGTACGAATACGGATAGGTAAGACAGAACTGATAAACGTCTTCCTCGCGATCAAACGCAAACGAGAAACTCAGCACGTAGTGATTCTGATGTTGTGCGGATTTGTAATAGAACACCTGGAACATGATTGGTCATTTGAGAAAAAAAGACATAAATAAATGTTTCTTGTTTCTTTGTTCTTCGTTGAAAGAAATAAGATATAAATATAAATAAATAAATATATATATATATAAAAATATATTTACATATACACACACACGCAACATATATATGAATTCACGAATTAAAATTGCAATTCAAATAATCATGTGTATTAATTTGCACTACTAAAAAAAATATAAATATAAATATAAATATATGTATATTTATTTATTTATTTTGCACGAATATCCAGCGTAGTCGTCCTGTCAACCGGTTTAAATTTTAACGTTTTCACGAAACGTCGGGGTATAAAAATGACACTAATGCGGTTCAAATCCGAAAAACATCTTCGAATGTTAATACAACACACCGCGAAAGCATTAAATATCGGTTTAAATTTTCTTGTTAGTTTTAAACTACATAAGCTTTAATTCTTCGTTAATTTGTTAAAAAAAAGTTATTTTCTGTTTTGATCATTTTATTCTCTTTATAGAGAGATATATCTATTGACTGAATTTACCATGACATTCAGTTTCGTGAGCAGCGATAGTAATCATTCAATCGCGCGATTGAGGTGCCGATAATTCTAATTTGAAAGACTGTTAGGTACTTAAGAGATTGAGTAATTGGATAGTTATTGAAAGTTCGCTCTCTTTCTCTCTCTTTCTGTTTGACATAGTTATCTAGATTATAAACCATCGATATATTGTCAACATAAATTGGAATATCTCAATTATGCAATGAATATAACTGACAAAATTTGCTTTAGACTCCAAATATGCATTTTTGTACTTGTAAAAAATAACAGAACACATGTGTAAGCACAATCTACAAATAAAAATTAAATAATCACAAAATGCTTACCTGTTCTCGCGGTATCCTCTGCCACTTCGGTTTGCTGCTGCTCTTCACCAACGGCGTCATCCCCTGTCGAAAGAGATTCGCGCTCTTAGAGATGTTGACGATGTTGAAGATCACCCGCTGATCCGTCTTCACGTTATCCACGGTGAAATTGAACCACATGCGTAATCTTGGCCCGCAAGTGTCTGGTCTGATGAAAAGATCGTACTCGAATTCGGAGATCAGATCCACTCTGCCGAGATTACCGGTTTCAAAAGTGGCGTCGAAACAGATGTGACCCTTCTTGGCTTTGCCACTGTGGCCAGGTGGTCGGATTATCAGCTTGTTCACATTACCTAGGCCGCCTTCGGCATCGCTGTCTTCGCTTTCTGCAAATAGTTTGACAATGTCATCAAAAGAAAAAAAAATTAAAATCCATAAACATTGTTTAGCGGAATATATTGCGTGTCATTTTAAAACTCTCATAACGCTCGTTTTCTTTGTTAATAAGTAAACGAACTATTTTGCATGAGACGAAATGAGTTGGGAATAGGAGAGGAGTGTCTCTAACCAGCGCGCTGATAAAGACTGGTATGCTCCAGAGGATCTCGTCCCTCGGAACAAAAGGCCATGACTCCTAGGAAATGACTCGGAACAATCTATCGACAGAGCGACATAATTCGAACACTAATTACAGCGAACGACATAGTCGAGCCTCTTGGACGAGAGCGAGCATAGAGCAAACAACACTATGACCTATCGGGCGGAAGACACGATGAGAGACTGACGGCTTCGTGAGAAGCCGGTTCTATACCACGGTGTGCTAACCTACGCCTACGTGATAAAAGCGGAACCTCGCGCGATCTACACACGTTTATTCGTGTCCGCCTTCGTGGAATCTCGCCTGATTCGTGATCTCTCGCGTGAACGGAACGCGCAAGAAAAATGGGAATCGGCTCGCATCAGGAGGGTAAACTCGCGTGGGCCGCGCGTCAAGAATCGCATACGTGCGATCTCTCGACGGCCCCCGTCTCTCCCGACTTCACGAACTTGTTTGCGGTCACGAGATCCGGGGCCTCGGCACGACTCACTGATTGATTCGATTAACGGACGTCGAGATTAGAGAGCAGCGTGATTGAGAGACTCGAGATCGCGATAGTTTTACGGGGTTTGGCAACCCCGGGATTGGATACACCAATATCCACATCAACCCTTATCTAGAGCTTGATTAAACTGCAGATAAAAGACCGTGATACGTATTTTCTCTGTTCACGCGTCTGATCGATTAGATATATCCGCTTGTTACTCGAACGTTTCGTTGAATGAAACTTTTTATCAAAGTACGAAAAAGTTTGCACGCGTAAATGAGAGAAGAATATCTTTATCTCGCACATCTTCTCTCAACATGTCATTATTCGGTGTCAAAGAGATTCAGGTTTATTATTATCGTAAAAAAAAATAAAAGAGAGAACCTTGTTCCATTGCTATTTTTACTATTCGAGGAAAAAGACATGGTTTCGTGCGAGAAATGAAAAATACAAAGAAGGATATATTTATTGATAGGGAGAGATCGTAACGTTTCTGTCGTCACCAGAAACATATATATATGTATATATATATATATATATATATGTGTGTGTGTGCAAGAGAATTCTCTTGCGGAGTTTTCTTTTTATCGCGTTTCTTATCATAGAAACGCCGCTCGTTCGGCGTAGCAATCGTTACAAATCTATATTGAGATCACTCGATATCTATTTCTATTACATTCGACGACGCAAACGTCGCATTTTATAACTGAAGACACTATAGCTCTCTGTTACATGAGGATTATACATATATACCGGCTTTACATCGGGATACATATATGTGGATCGTTAATGTTTCAACGCACACGGAAATAAAAGAGTTTCACTGTGTCTCTTCAAGAAACGTCGACTGTACTTTGTTCACTGAATAATAATGTTTTTTCTAGCGCCATGTGCACGATAGTAACGTCGAGTCGTAGTTCATAAACTGCAACTGTTATTTCATGATTCTTGTAAAACAGTGTTAGACAGTGTTATATTTATTATTGTTTTTTTTTTTTAATTAATTTAAAGAAATAATTTTAATAAGAAATAATTTGATTTTTTTTTACGTTTTGTCGCGATTTAAATGAAAGAAAGAAATCGTGTGTCGCGAAATTCTCAGAAAAAGAAAACTAGGACACACTTGGACGACGCAATTAAAGGTAGAAAGCGGGAAAAGCACGGAAAAGCCCGGGCAATTGTGGGAAGGGAATAATGAAGCGGAAGGTAAAAGAGAGAAAATCACGATAACATGCATCAGCGCATTTGCGCAAATTCCCGACAATTTTTGCTATGCGAAGAAAATAACAAGGACCATTTCCCGCGCTGCGCGCGTTCTATTTTAATTGCCGCAACGCTAGTTGTCGCGAAGTCGCAAGGTGAAATCGATAAGACGTCTATTAATTCTCAACGAGAACATTTGTAGCTTTCTCTGTACTGATCAATTATATCTTACTTGCCGCAAATACAAGTTACTTTTTTTTAGCTGTGACGTATATAGTTTGTCATAATGTTGATTGATTTTGTAAATAAATTGGACACTTTAATTGCGAAAAAGAACGAACACATTTAAATCCGATGAATATGATTTCTTTCGGAACAGCGATCACTGTCATTCCGCGAACGATCGCGAAGCGAAGAATATAACAATGAAAAAAAAAAAATATATATATATATATACTCTCTCGCGAATTTCGTTATGTAAGTTATTCGTATACAAACTCCGTGAGATAACTTTTCTTCGATATACATAAAAGCTGATTTTCGATTAACTATCATGACGCTTACGCTTTTGTTCTCGCGTGTGTGAGGCGTTCTCGAAGAACCACCGTCGATTGTTACGTGTCTAAAGCCACCTCAACTTCTCCGAGCGCGAGTGATTGACAACCACGTCGGTACTCGCGCTTATAAGTTACGTCGCCTCGCGCGATTTCCGGGCGGGAAGTTTTCCGAGTCGATGCGAGATCGAAAATGTCAGAGTACAATTGGCGAGAGAGCGCGTGATGATCCTCGCGTGACCCTCGTTTAGTAAATCCGATCGATTTGACGGATCGCGAGTGTTCCATCGAGAACACGTTGGACACATTCTCCGCGTGACTCTGTGCGGACAGGCTGGTGATAACAGTCACGAATGTGTAGATTTCGTGGACTAACTCGAAGACCGACGTATGAGAACGATGTTGTATATGAGGATTTTACACGTACCGGTCTCTTCGGCGTCGGACATGTCGGTGAAACTCGGCGCGAACTTGTCCCAGACTGGACCACGCGAATTTGTACACTAAGCGACACCGTCGCCCGGTTTCCTTGGTTTGTTGAATCGATATGTATACCTGTGGTTATCTGGAACTGCATTGTGCCAGATAAGCATGCAGATAAAACGGAAGTATCTAAATCGCGCAGGTCAACAGGCGATCAAGTGGCATGTCTTATCTCATTTTGCTACTTGGCGCGCTTCTGTAACGCTCTCAGAACGAGATGCTTAGACAGAGACGCAAGACCATTTTCCGAAATGTAATTTTTTTTTTGCGAATTGAAAAAGTCACGAGGAAGATATAATGTGAAGACCTTCCAAAGACAGGATGCAAATTAAATGGGAGAGTCAGGTGGGTAGGTAATTTCGTACAGTAATGCCGTTACTGTACAGGATCCGGTAAACCAATTTCCCGATCTCGGGGGACATTTTTCTGGATATCGGTTAATGGTGGTAGTGGTAGCGTGGCGGCGCGCACGTTCTCCCTCTGGTGAATGCCCTCCTCCCCCGGGCTTTGGCTGGGACCTCCGAGTGAAGCTTCCTTCGTCTGTCCTCTCCCCGCGTGTCCCCTCCTTCCTGTTCCGCGCCCCTACCACTATTCGGGAGTACTAGGGACGCGAAACACGGTGGAGAAGGAAACGCGAAACTGCACGAGAGGGAGTGAATGACTGAGAGAACGCGGGAGATCGATATTCGAAAGACCCCCGGTGCCCCCTCTCCCTCTCTCGTCCCTTTTGAACCCCGGCCGGCAGCCCCGTCTGACGCTGGCACCCCTCGATCTACCCTCCCAGTGGCGTAGGAAGGAGGCGCGGCCGTCGCTCGAGGTGGAATGGGTGCGCCGCTTTTCCCAGGACACACTCAGGAAGCACAAAGAGGACGAGCGCGCCCGTAAATTGTCAGCCGCGACGTCCTCTCACGGAATTTATGCGACCTTCTCTCTGCAAGGTGTCTAGACTCCTTTGGCGATTAAGATGTGGGGTGGGCCGCGCCGATCGATCGGCGCCAGTGATCGGTTTAGTTTATGAGCGGATTTTACTGCCTAGCACTTTTCGGGGGCGCACAATTACGTCAATGTTTGACGCACGGCGCACAAATAGTATTGCAAAATATGACAAAATCGCGCTTCTTCGTGAACGCTCGATCAATAGTTACTTTTTTTTGTACATACCTCCATACATACATATAGCTTAAAAACATTTTTCATCTCTCAAAACCTTTTTAAATAGAATTACTATCCTTTCTTGATCATTTCCTACGCCACTGACGTACTTGGACTGACCCTTATATGCATACGTGCTATTTACCATTAGATTACACCCCTTGTCTTCCTCGTTCTCTTTCGTCTCTCTCCCCTACACACGATTCTCTTTCTTTCTCTTTCTTTGTTCCGTCCGCGGCGACTTTCTTTCTCCATACCATTTGCCTATCTCTCGTATCTCGTGATATCAAAATGTATAAGGTGGCGCAAACGAAACCAATTATACATTGCGTCCGATGACGGTATCGATTTTCTCGCCTTCGTCCGTGACGTGACTCATTAAAGAATCGTTCATCACAAGGTGTATTAACCAACGTCATGCGTAAAGCTGCGAAGAGAACGAGCGAAGTTGTGTGTATAAAAAAAATGCAATCGATATATTATACTTCGTATATTAGCATTATCGTTCATGGTCGCCGATCACAATGGATGAGATCGCAGTGACGAGATAAAGGCGCGTTCCCCGTTCACTTCGTCAGCTTTTTATCATTTCGCATGTATTTTTTTGCGTGAGTTGCTTATTTTTATCATTCGATATTAACCTGATAACGAATTCCAATATAACGCGATAAAATAGCGAAATCATATAGTTTCAGCTTTCAGTATTCAATTACATTTTTTTATAATGTTACTGTGTGTAATATTAAAATGATTTGGAATACAAAAGATAATTTGAAATAAGAGAAACATATGTAAAATATATTTATATTTGCACGGACATTCAGCATACAGGCTCGTATCGATCCTGATACTTGGTTTGAAATTTTTACGAGAATTTAAATTGTTGACATCTGCAAAAGTTCTTAAAATTTTTATTTCTTATCAATTATCGGGAATGTTTTGCGCTTTTGGATTAAATTTGTGAGAGAGGGTATTTAATTAAAAACAAGCATAGTTCTATTTTGCCAGACGTAACACGAAATTTGCCTTGAATGATGAAATTCGGCCTTGTCCATTATTGCTGAAATCATTTGCCGAGGACGCTTCCTGATGAGCTTTTCCTACCTAACCCTATAGTCCAGCGCTTGCGCCACGCGGTCCTTCACCACCTACAACCCTTCCCACTCTAATTCTCTCGCTCTCTTTGCCTAACCTTCTCTCTTCGCTGTCCTTCTCCTGCTTCCGTTATCAACCCCTCCATTTGGGAAACCCCATTTGACGCGTGCGTATTTTCAACCTCTCCCTCTCTCTCTCTCTCTTTCATCTTCACCCTTATCCATCTCTCTATGCGTTTCCCTTCTCTCTTCTATCCCTTCGATAATCAAAGCAATGTACAGTTGTTCACTCGTGAGCCTGTGTGCGATATTAATCATGCTAACTCGCAAAGATCGGTCGTCGTACAGTATAGCTCGATCGATCTGCATTGGTGACGGACGCTGCAATTTGTAAACACCTCTATGCTCTTAATTCCCAAAAAATCCGCTTTCGAGATAAACGTATTTTTTTGTTCTTTTTTTTTAAAGATTACTCTTTTTTATTCTTCTTTTTAATCCGTCCAATAGCATTTTGAAAAATGAGCAGTCGTCTTAGCAACTCCTCGACCAATATATCTTGTCGCTTCTATTTCTTGCGAATTTTCTGTCTTCTTTTTTATCTTTCCCTCTGCTTATTTTTCTCGACTATCTTCGCAGACTTGCGTCTACATGGACCCATCTCGTCTCTCTTTCCATTAATCATTTATCGCAGAGTTTTCTTATATTTTTGTGTCTGCCTTAATACTTTAATCGGTTTTTACTTTTATGTAGAACATATTAAGAATGATTGGAATATATCATTTGATAGAGTTTTATTTCTATGATATATAACTATATATATACATATGGTATAGTCTTTATTTTCCCGTAATTATCGATCGATCTATAAATAACTGTGACTAAGAGAGGTGTACGGATTATTTATATTATTGGATATACATATTTGTCTTACGCTTTTTCTTAGAAGCTTAGAAGCTGCTTTTTTTTCCTAACGTACATATCAACTAGGTTTGGAAATGCACAAGAACGTTCAATTAAAGACCATTTTGAAGAAATCGAACCAGAACAGCTCTCTCTCTCTCTCTCTCTCTCTCTCTCTCTCTCGCCCTGTAACTGCACTTATTCGTGCAATGACCGACGCGCCCCCGGGGTGGTTCATTTCCCGGGACGATCGTTTTAATCAATAGCTCTCCCTTCTTCGCCCCCTCACCCCGGGCATCATTTATCATAGAGATGTCTCGGACGCATAATGACTGAAAAAAATCTCTATAGTTACGTGGCGATGCGCGCTGCATGTTTTGGAGATACATATATGTACATGCATCGGAGCAACACATACAAGGACCACCCAACCACAACCTCCCCCGGCGATGGGAAGGGTATGTCTCACAATTACGCTTGCGCGAATTTCCACCCCTTTCCCGACGCACTGTCGGCTCACCACCCCGCGCAATACCCCTCCGGACCTCTCTTCCGCGTCTCCCTTCAGAGCTCTCTTGCTCTCTCGCGGCTCTCTCAGCGACCTCCTTTATCTTTCACCTGCGACGGCGGTGGCGTCTGCGTACATCGACGCCAATCTCCCTCGATCGAGCATTTTTACGATTCTTTTCGCCTCGAAAGTCCATCCCACCCCGCGAGACGAGCAGAGACAGTGGGGAGGGTGACGGTGGCGGTGGTGGCGACGGCGAGTGTCCGGAGGGTGCAGACGTCGACATCGGAACTCGGCCTCGTCAGTTTAGTTACCGCACCACATAAAGGCATTGCGTTGTAGACACCGTTATACCCGCAACATTCTCTTACTATTTGCTTACATATTTCTTGATTTCTGACCCTTCAATTTGACGTAAAAAAAAAAAAAGACAAACAAAAATTACTCGGTTCGGTATCGTTCAATCATCATACAAGAAAAATCACAGTCGCCATTGTCGTCACATCGTTGTAGTCGTCGTCCTCCTCTATAGAGCGTTCGGTTGTTGTTCCGCTGCTTTGTCCACCGTCCACGTGTCAATAACGAGAAAAATCGCGAAGAAACAGAACAAAAACCAAAATTCATAAATTTCCCATCGTGCGAGAAGATAAAGCAGAGGAGCGAGGACACTTCTTCGATTTTATCATTTTATTCGAATCCCCGATCTCTTACGCTCTCCGTCGTTATCTCGTACTTCATCTCGTCGAAGAAGCGTTACTCGATTATCCCAATCAAATTTTTTGCTTGATATCTCTCTGTAATCGATCCGCAACAGACTCGACGGAAGATGAATCGACCGTGAACGAACGAATCAATACGAAGGACGGTGCGCGAGATCTCCTCACGCGGATAAACGCGAGATTCGGGAACGAATGTTGAACGCGTCGAAAGGTACGAGCGGTAACGTGAGCAACGAGAGATCGTCAGCTGGAAGATCTTTTAATCGGCAGAAGAAGCAGCAGATAAAGAGAAAAAGGGACAAAATAGGAGGGCGTCCTGCTGGTCAGGATAGAGAAGTGACAGAGAGAAACACTTGTGGGTGTGTTTATCGCGTGCGCGGAATTTGTTTATCTCCTGTATCGTGAATTTTTAAACGTCGAGTGTACGTCGCGAAATTCGAGACTCTCGTATAACAATATATCGGAAAACTCTGGCTTCCATGTTGATCGTCACGCTGTCGTCGTCGTTACGAATGTTCCAGGTCGCGTTGTAATAAGACAATTTTGCCGCAGAAAGAGATAAAAACTAAGTACAAAGAAAATACTAGCGCGTCTAAAATCGTAAAATACGCAAAAATATAGGAGCAATAAATATCGAGAGAGAGAAATTTAAAAAAGAGTAATTAAAAAAAAAAAATCCACCGTCGTTCTGTTCTGCGCCCAGATTATCGGCATCCTCCAACCACTGATTTTCATCGTTAACCGGTATGTTCATTTGTTTCTTTACTTTGGTTGTTTCTGTGACTCTCACGAATCGTTATTATTATTATCTTGTTATTGTTATTATTGCCGTTAAATTATATTGGCGATTTGCCAGCGGATCTGCGTGCGTCGGTTAGTACGTCGATCGGCTGCTGATCTTTATGTATACGTTCCTCTTGCACACACCAGGGATTTCCGTGAGAGAAACCCTACCGCTGTCCTTTTACCTTCAAGAATTCCATCGTGGTGCTCCCGTGTGCTTCTCTTTCGCAACGTCGATTGATTAATTTTTGTTACTTCGTTGAATTTCCAGGAAAATAAAAGTTTGCAGTATTATAAATATCGAGATGATAAAAAATTGATATTATTTCAATTGCTAATTAATTAGAAATTACATTTGTTAAAACAATTAATATATAACGAACATTAAGTATTGTTGTTTACGTAATGATATATTCTTTTACGCTTGATTGTATGAAAATTCTGTGTAATTTTGACACAAATTGCGTAATAAGAAATTGTATATATATAGGAAGGTAAATAATAAAAAAGTTCACCACAAAATCTAAAAAAAAAAAACAATTATTTGCCCAACCAATTTACTCGGTAGAGCGTGTAAGACAGTATTCTTCAGGCCCCCCCTTTTCTTCATTAGGGGGGGCCTGAAGAAGACAGTATGATGTATTGTTGAACTTATTATTCTTGTTATTTCATCAAAATTGCAACACGTCACACGCTGATGTAACGAGACAAGAAGTATTTTTAAAAATTATCCGAGATGCGCCGACGAGAGAGCTCGCCGTGGAGCGAACGACGATTGCGTGATCTCTCGCAAGAAACGTATTTGCGAGGAAGTGCATCGCGGAAACTAGACGGGGGCTCATTAACGGAGCAAAGTTGTTGCATATAATGTCGATCAGTTGCCATAACCGCCGTAAATGTTGCGTTTAGCAGCTGACGCTTACCACGGAATAATATTGTGTGTGCACCACCAGACCTTTCTCTTTCTCTCTCTGGGCGTGGCACCAGAAAGCGACTGTCGCAGGAGAGCACCACGTTGCACACATATATACTAACGCATAAACACATGCACACATCCTATTTCCCTCTCTCTCTATCTCTCTCTCTCTCTCTCTTTCTCTCTCTCTCTCTCTCTCTCTCTCTCTCTCTCTCTCTCTCTCTCTCT